CAAGTAGGGAACTGTCAGATTCCTCGCCGGTTACTTTAAACCAATCCTTAAAGGCCTAAACAATCTGAATGCACCTGGTTTAACTCAACGATGCTGGTCACCTGGTGCCCTGAGCGACCTCTCTGTGCTGCCACCTGCAGGGACATCACTCGCGAGAGGAGCAAACATCGGATGCCGCTCCGTCCTCGGAAAGTTCTAGAACGCCGAGAAACACCTGGGCAAGACTTCAGATTTACTGCTTGACGTTAATAGCCAAGCTGGGTAACTTTTCCTCCATAAATTAGAAAAAGAAAATAAACAAGATATACATGTTTACATAAATACAGTCCTCGGTATGAAGGCGCAGGGCACACAGGGACATCCAGCGCGGCTACGGATTTTATTTACATTCAGAGCACTGGCAGCAAAGCTTCTACATTAAGAAGAAAAATAAAAGGAAATATGTGTGGTTGTTTACCTGAGCGGCGGAAGAGTTACGAGGGCCCGGGTTTAATCTCTTCCCCGAGAGCACAGGCCTGTATTTCCTTCCAACGAGACACAGGTGTGTCTCCCAGTCAGCCTGCGTTTGCTCGGCACCTACACCCAGAGCTCTCAGGGCGTCTCGCAAGGCAGTTAATTTGCAGCTTAGATAATTAAGAGGCTGCCATGTTAGACAAATGAGAAGAGCAGAGAGTTAAATCTGTGATCACAACAGCCTTGGAACCCCAACACAGAAAGTTAGTTACACATCCCAGAAGCCAAAGCGATTAAAGCTCAGGCAGGAATCCGAAGTTTTGTCATAACCGCTCTACACTCACGTCAGCCTGGCGGGTGGGAGGTGGTTAGAGTCCTGAGCAGACGCTCCAGCCCCCCGACCTCATCCCCCCTGCACGTGTCTGCAGCTGCCTCCCTGGTTGTGGCTGTGGTGGAAGCTGTGTTTTCTCTCTAACCCTCTATAGCAGGTCGTTTCTTTAAAAAATATTTTTTAATTGATTGTTTAGAGAGAGAGAGAGGGAGAGAGAGAAACATCAGTAAGAGAGAAACACTGATTGGCTGCCTCCTGCACGCCCCCTGGGGACCAAGCCTGCAGCCCGGGCATGTGCCCTAAGAGGAATCGAACCCTGACTTTTTGTTGCATGGGGCGATGCCCAACCAACTGAACCACACCAGTCAGGGCTACACCAGGTTTTTACAAATGGTAGTAGGTACTGACATCACACACAAACTGGTGGGGGGTGCGGCCCTCAACGGCCTTGATTTATTTTTGGAAACACTTATTTCTTCTCATTAAAAAACAGCTTGCATTTTAAAAAGGTTATCTTTTGAAATTTTAAAAATCTTTATAAAATTAAAACTTCCTGGTTGCTGATATATTAATTACAGAGACTCTAAATAGAAAATGTCTCCATATCTCCATAGTTCCATTCCCCAGATAATATCTTTTTAACATTTTGCTGAACTTTTCCAAGCCTTTTTGTTGGAAAACATTTACAGAATTCAGGGCTAACTTCACCTGCACATGGGGAATTTATTCACATGATAAAAAGCAATTTGATTAAATGCCAATGGCTGTAGGCATGAGTTTTGAAGTCAGAATCAGTGAGACTTCGATTTGAACCCCAGATGTACAAGTTATGTTGATTGAGTGACTTAATTTCTCTAAGTGTCACTGTGTGGACCTTCAAAATTGGCATTAAATCAACCCCTGGCTTCCAATTATGTTGGAGTAACTGGAGCTGCATTTACCCTACTGCTTGAAATATCAGGAAACTGGACAGATACGTGGAAACAAACCTGACTCCAGAAGTGTCACAGTGGGCATCCCAAGACCGTGGTCCCTGCAGGGAGCCTCTGGTGCCCTGGTTTTCTGTCCCCAGGCACTGCCCAGCTCAGAGAATAAGGAGGGCAGACGAGCGTGGGACATGACCGACTGCTTCACCGAGGTGAGGGGACAGCACTGAAGAGCTGGGACTGCGGGTGTTGGAGAGGATGGGACGGCAAACGGAGTGTGCTGTGGACATCTGCCTGACGGGGCCACAGGAGGTGGCACAGAAGACAGTTCTCAGAGCTCAAACAGAGATGGAAGACGGCATCCCACCCTCTGCAGGAGAGGCTCAGTGGGCACTTGGAGATTCAGCAGAAGGTGCATCTCAGTCATGAACTAGCCTGAGACTAACGTTGACTCCATAGTCACTCTAAGGACACTCACAGGCCACAGGAAGATCACCCTGACTCCCAGGAACAACTCCTATCAGTAAAATCTAACACCTCAAATAAATACACCACAGTCCAGCATTCAGCATCCTAACATTTATGTCTATAATTCAACCAAAAATTACTAGACAACCTAAAAAGCATACAAAGAGAAACATGACTACCAGGAAAAACAGTCAATAGAAACAGACCCACAGGTGGCAGAGATGGAATGAGCAGACCAGGGCTTTCATGTCCTCAGAGGGGTCCTCGTGGCAGAGCAGGAATTACGGCAGAAAGAATGGCCGACCTCAGACTCTCACGGACAAAGAGCCTCAAGAGACACCCAAGCACGTCAGGGAGACAACAGAAACCCGAGGACTGAGGACGCAATACAGGCTCGGATGTGCAGCCACCCGACAGTAAACACAGCCCAGGTCTTAGCTACATAAACATAAACCTCACACTAAAATCTTTTACCTGATTCAGCACACCTAGGTTTCACCAAAAAGGTAAGGCCTGTTAAAAAGCACAGTCTGCAGAGACAGAGCGAGCACAGGGGCCGGACTCAAACACGGCCATCGTTCAGGTGAAAGGCGATGTGGTTGACATGATTACCCAGCTATATTACTCCTGCAATGTTCCCTGTAGGTTTAAAGTTTTTAGGAATAAATGAAGTTGCGAAATCTGATATGTGAGCAATTCAGACTACGTTAGTTAACTAAACGGCCCCCTCACCTGCGGGTCTTTTCTACCTGAGACCTGCCCCTGCCCCTGCTGCTCCGGAGAGAAAAGCAAAGGGCGGCAGAGAGGTGAGAGCTGTTCTCCTTTCTGACATAAGGATCGCCAGGTGGCCCACCCCCGGCTCAGGCACTGGTTACACAGAGAGAGAATGGAATTGGCCCTTGGGGTTCAGATAACGGTGAGCACTTGTTGCCTCAGTGCCCAGCCTGGCGCTGTGTTTCTTGCACCTATTATCTGCGTTAATCCCCAAAGCAACGCAGGGCAGGTGTCCTCACACCTCCTCTTGGGCGAGATTAAAGAACTTCATGCAGGTCTGTGAGCGTGTTTGCTAATGGTCCCCTAAACTTGAGAGAATTGGGGATTGAATCTGCCTCCCCTGACTTTAGCAGTTATCTGAAACATTTACTTAAAATTTCGAAGCTCACAATTTAAAACAAAGTGGGCCTAGGTACGCGCCCTTCCCCCCCCCGCCTTCCTCACAGGAGCTGAACCTGAGCAGGTGGCGCATTCAAGCCGAGTCTCCCTTTCTCGTAGGTAAATAAAGTACCGTGTGCCCCGCACAGTGAGGAGGGTAACGTGCTACATATAGGTTCTTAGTTACACACCTTTAGCAAATCAAATTTATTTACGTGGGAATTTTGAGAACTAGCTTAATAATGTCTAGTTATTTATTATGGATGAGTATTTTTTAAATTTCAGGAATCCACATTTCCTCATGTTAAATATGATAAAACAAGCTATTGATCTTTTCAGACACTATCTTTTACTGGTTTCCTTTTTGAAATAAATCATGTCATTTTCAGAAAAACATTTTATGGGTAACTTTAAATTGGGAGAAAACTTGAAAATATTCAAAGTTCATAATATCTTTAAAGGCAGGCAAGCGAATAAAAACTGACGGAAGTCCCCCTTTTCACTTTCTTAAGTTAATCAACAGTAATTAATCATTAGACAAATACTATGGAACTAGTACTGAATGAAAATAACATACATGAAAAATAGGTAACCTGAAAAATGTAAAGATCTTCAAAGTCCCACAGACAGAACAGAACCTAAAGGATTTATTAACCAGCCCTGTCTGGGTCGCTCACTGTATTTACTTAAGAACAGGATGGAGACGTTGAAGAGTGTTTTCCACAGATAGGACTGTAAATCTCCGTTTCTAAATGTGAGGACCCCCTGGCAATAGACCCCGTGTCCAGAGGGAGCCCTCAAGCCGACCCTGGGGGTCTGTTACCTCTCACAGCGTGTTCTGTGGGCAGGAAGAGTCGCCCTTGCCTGGCAGCTGGTGAGAAGCAGAGACCTGGTCCTCACAGAGGCCTGCGGCATCTCGCTCTACCCATGTCCCGCCTTCACATGTACGCTCACGACTAAAACCGGCAGGTCTGGCCTGTCTACCTATAAAAATGAAGTTTGCATATCCCCCAAAGGTAAAGAGATGTCTGAATATTATGTACAAAAAAGCAGGTGTTTGGCTGCCTGAGAGCACCCCAAGCTGGTTAGCCCATAAACACTTGTCTGAGTCTCACAAAAGGCCTCCGTTCCCGGCAGGTTTGACTCATTTACAACTGTCCANCTGGTTAGCCCATAAACACTTGTCTGAGTCTCACAAAAGGCCTCCGTTCCTGGGCAGGTTTGACTCATTTACAACTGTCCACCGTGAACAATGGCCCTTAATTAATCTAATTTGGGAAACTACAATGCAGGCTTTTCAGTTACAATTATTGCTGATTAATTAAGCGAGGAGACCCCGGGGCCTCGTGGGGGTGGATGTGGGACAGAATTGGGGGCAGGGTGTGTCCAGGGCTTAGTGACTTGCCCGCGTCTCCCCGAAATGCACTTACTCTCGCCCCGTGCTGTCTGCGTGGGTCAAACTCGAGGAAACCCCAGCGAGTTAGGGGAGACCTGCAGCCCCACCATTTTCAGAGCATTAGGCATTTTGCTTAAGTTCCCACCAGAAACTTCCGCTTTTCCCCAGCATTTGAAACCTATGTGGTCATTCACCTTAGCGCAATGTTTGAATAACAAAAAGGTTTTGTTTAAATTAAAACACCAGGAAACAAAGCAAAACAAAACAACCTTACTTTCCAAGGGCAAAGCATTCCAGTTTTACAGACGAATCCTTTGCGGCTTGTATAGTTTCGGGGAAACGCACTTCAATCTTTGGTTCATACTCCCCCATCACACCTGTTAAATATCAAAAGAGCTAGCAGCATTTCTGGAGAACAGAGTTTCCTATGAAGTAGATGCTTTGTTAACCAAAATCGGATTCTCTTGTCCTTCAATTAACAGTATCTTTCTACACTTCAGCGGGTGACAGGGAGAGAAAACACCGTGACACTGCGGGATTCGGCATTTCCCCTCGCTCCTGAAAAATAAATGTCCAGGGCACATCGAAGTGCCAGATAAAAGCACCGCCCCCCGTTTCCCGGTGTCCCCCCACATCAGCACCTTAAGAAGAATTCATGTTACCAATTAAGAACTCAAGGCACCAAGTATCTAAGAGGCTCCTGAGCTAACACAGATGTTTCTCTGTAGAGATACTGTGTCCAGCTCCACGGAACCCACGGCCAGGTCGGCCCAGGAATAAAGACATTTTCCGCCAACAAGGGCAGGGGCCTGATGTTGCACCTTAGTCCAAATGTCAGTATTTCTGCAACAAACCTATGAAGTAATCGTGCCAGTTGGGATAAACAAAGACATAAATATTCTTATGTCACGTTATCGAGGTTCTGCTAACAAATTGGCTGTACACCGATAGGAAACATACTTGTTTTCATAGTTTTTAAAAGTACGGTAAGGAACCGTGGACGTGGGCTAAGACGGGAGTGAGGCCGCCATCGGATCGTTGTAAATACGCCACCTGTCAGGGGAGGGGTTGACCGGCAGGAACGGGCCTCGTTGGCTTAATTCATTTAACCAGTGACACGCCGAGGCTCTTTAAAAGTTTGATCGTGTTTTTACTTATATACCAAACACCACGGTAATAATATATACCTAAAATAAATGGTTATTGGTGGCCGGTACAGTGTCACAAAAGGCAAAAATTACAAAATATATAGAACTAGCCACACCTCATTTTTACGACCTCGGTCATCCTGACACCGAAAAGGCCTGGTGGGGGCAGAGCATCCTCGTCACTCAGCTGTGTGGGTGGGTTTTCTGTCTCCCTGACAGCTGGTGTTCCCTGGGTGACTGCTTTACTACGTACGATGCTCTGGTCTCTTGTTCCCATCAACGTGTTGAAGGGAGGGGGGGTGGAAGGATACAGGAGTTAAAAAGGGGAGATGCAGAAACTAAGCATAAACCGGAAAAAGTGGGAGAACAGCAGAATTTCAACACATATTGTCGACGTGTGGGCTCCCCTGGTCAGGAGCAGAGCACCCCCTGAAGGGAGGCTCCTGAGTACGTCTAGAGGTCACTAAATTCTGAACCGGGACCATGCAGGTCATCTGGATTGTCCCTGAGGATGACTATCTAAGAACCCCGCCCGGGGCCGGCTCCGTCACTCCAGCAGCCGGATCAGCGCCATCCTCGCGCTTTCGCTAAACTCCTCGGGGAGGAGATACGCTCTGGGAGGTGCCACATTTTGAGGCCAGATTCGGACCCTAAAACGCACCAGCGCGCTCTGGTTGCACTGCGTGTGGCTGTGTGTCCCACGGTGCGCGTTTAATGAGAGGATCAGCTGGGGGATTCCCCCCGTGGGTGACTCCCTACGTCTTCTGCGCTCTGAGTCTCACACCAGCGGTGCCTTGATGAGGCTCCGGCTCCTCAGAGGCCAGTCCGCAGGGTGTTCTAGGGGGACCAGAGCTCCCGGGAGCCTGCGTCTCCTTCGCCTTGCTCGTGGTGAGTGTGCATCTCCCTGCTCCCCTTGGCTGGGCTCTGACCCCGTCCTGTCAGCCAGGTAAATAACAGGTGGGCACAGGACAAAAATGGAAAAGAAGGGTATTAAGGAAAAGCTGGGTCCCATGTTCATGAAAACTATTTTAATTCCGTTAGTAAGTCTGGTAGCACCCACGGGTGCACACACAAGCCTACTCCCTCTCCCCCAAAAATACCATTTTTTACAAAATAGTCCCTAAGCAAAGCACAGATGAAAGACTCCAGAGCCGGAGAAGAGGGGGCATAGTGCGCCCAGGGCCCTGTTCACGGTGCCACGTGGGGAGCTCCAGAATTTTCTGTTACGTTTTTGGGAACACCTGACTCAACATATTTGTGAATTGACCCTCGACTCATAGGCGCTGTGGCTGCTGGGGGCCGGAGGGAAGCAGACGCCTCCCAGACCTCCCAGGCTCAGCCCCGGCCGAGCTCGTCCCCAAGACAACGGGTCCTCTTACCGTCGGGGCGCTGCACCAGGGGCGTGGGCGGTCCCCGGACGCTTCTCCGCGCCTCCCTGTTGGTCACAAAGCAGGTGTAGTTGCCCACGTCGGACGGTTCCACCTTGGCGATGTACAGGTTGCCCGTCTCCTGGGAAACAAACCGCCTGTTGTCCTCTTGGACCTGTAAAGGGTTATCGTTGAAGGTCCACGCGTAAGATAAATCTGGAAAACAGAGAAGAGAAGTATTGTACTTCCTAGGTTCCCTCTAATCTGAGAGCCCGGGGCCCTACTTATCCATGATTAGAATAAGATGGTGCCCCCGGCCCAGCCAGCACGGACCAGGAGGTCGGGGTTCGATTCCCGGTCAGGGCACAGGCCCAGGTTTCAGGCTTAATCCCCAGCAGGGCGCATGCAGGAGGCAGCCGGTCAGTGACTCTCTCCCATCATTGATGTTTCTCTCTCTCTCCCTCTCTCTTCCTCTCTCTGAAATCAATAAAAATATATTGTTTTTTTAAAAAAAGATTGTGCCCCCATTTGTCCAGCTTGTGTCTGTTGTCCTGGGGTAACTGTAATATTCTCTTGCATTCAGATATATTCCAATTTGGATGATAAATTATGTGGTCATCCGGCCCATGGTGTCCCGAAGGCAAAAGCAGGAACTGTGGCTGGAGGGGGTGACAGAACACTGACCGTTAATGTGACGGAGAACGGTGTACGCTTCAGAGCTCCCGCAGAGGCCGATGCACGAGGTGATGAGCTCCCCGTCATTAGTGGTGACCACGCAGAGGATGGACGAGCACTGCCTGAGACGTTGCAGGATTTACCTTTGCATCGGGCAGGAGGCTGGGCCTGTTTCTGTGGCTGGTCCCCTCTGCCCTCGGCATTCGTTACCTCCCCAGGACTACGAAGGCCGCGCAAAGGCAACTCTGCTTATTTTCGAAAACGTGCCCTGGCTCTTGACCTGCCCCAGTTGCCGGGTCTCCTCCCCTGCAGGCCCCTCCCTGCCCTCCGTCACCCGCGTGGCCTCTCGCGTCTGAGTTTATTTACTGAGCCCTTTGCGGCCTCACCGCCAAGCCTCCTGCTCGTCTCCACCCAAAAGATGTTCAGAGGGATTTTGTTTGAAACCAGAGAGCCGTGTAGATCGTGAGTTTTTCAGTATAAAGAGGAGGGGGGTGTAGTTCGGGTTCCCCAGGTGTCAGCGACGCCTCGTCTTTTGAACCTTTTGTGAAACGGGGATGGTCCTGAGCAAGTTCCCGGGCCGGGTCTCAGCTTGGGGTCTCCACTCAGCGCCTGCGCCGGGGAGGTCGGCGCCCGCTCTGGAAGCCCAGGCTGCCCCTTTCACTTAGCGGAAACCACAGGCTGCCTCTTCCGTGCCCCGAAATCTTTATTTCCTTCACGCTGTGACTATGGGCCTGCGGCCGGAGTTTCCCCGCCTCTCGTGGGCACTTCGCCCTCTCAGGAGCGGCCANGCCAGCGCGTCCGGCCGGGTCCCGCGGAAGCACGGCCGTCAGCAGCGGGCGCATGGAGGCTGCGGGCGGGATGGGGCCCGGGCGGGAGGAAGGTGGCCCCCGTTGCCCGCCTGCCTCGCCACCCCAACAGCTCGTTCTGAGCGGCTGGTGCCACTGTGCCCGTGACGAGAGGGTGTGGGGCCGGGTGTGAGGTCCTTTCCCGGGGCCGCGTCGTTGGGGGGGGAAGGCTGCAACCCAGACCCTAGACGCCAAACCCTTTCCTCCCCCAGCACCGCCTGCCCCCCTTCTGTGCGTCGGGGGCCCTCTGCACCCCCGCTCCCCACGGCTGCCCTCCCTCACCCTCGGGCTCCCTCCCAGCCCCAGCTCCACGCACACCCCTCCTTCTCACGTGCGGGACGATGGCTCCTCACCCCCGCTTCCTTCCCCCTCAGCACCGCCGGCCCTGAGCTCAGTGTCTCAGAACCCTCAGGGTCGAAGGCCTACCCGCCGTTCGCAAGGACACCACAGTGCTTAGAGCTCAGAAGAGCAGGGAATGGGACGCCTCTGTGAGGCCTCCGACAAGCAGTTCTCTCTAAAGCTGCGCCTAGAGCAGGTCTGAAACCCGAGTGAGCCCCAGCACAGCCGGGGGACTTGGTGGAACCCCCTCCCCAGTCGCCTTCTGCAGGCGGGAAGAGCCAGGGGACCCCCTGCTGACAAGTCCCCGGCGACTCCGACCCTGGGGCCCAGATCTCCGCTCTGAAAACCGCCGATGTCAACGGCAAGCCCGGCTCCCCCGCAGGAGCCCACCCGTGGGAGCCCCGACTTGGATAGAGCGGTGGCCCCTTGGACGTGCCCTTGGGAGCCGTGGAGCCTGAGGGAGGATCTCTCAGCCCACAGCTTCGTGGACCGTCTGGGGCGGAAGGAGCCTGACTGGCCTCCACCCGGCTTCCTATTTTTCCGGGCGAGTAAGCAGAGGGGAGACAGTGCACCCTCTGCAGCTGGAATCTGGGGGCCCTTGGGTCCCCTCTGGGGAGGCCGGAGATGCTGTCAGCCCTGTGGTCCCCTCCCCTGCTGCTCTGTCCATTCAGCCACCCCCCGCCTGCCTGGGGCCCCCATCTCTTTGGTTTCGGCCACAGCCACTGTCTGCTTAATGTGTATATTTTTTAATAGGGAAAGAGAAAAAAAAAAAAAAACCCTCTGCAAATTGCAAGTTTAAAATCCTCCCCATTTGGCTTTCCTTAATTAAATGTATAATTCATGAGCCACTTTCCTTGAAACCATTGCATTTTTAAATATTTCCCCCCGTCCGTGCCGTCCCTCCGTCATTAATGGTCCGGGTGCCTTTCGGGGTGACTCAGCGGTGTCATTAGCGCCCCCGGCGACCAGTCCGCAGCCTCCCGACAGCAGCCTCCCGACGTTGTTATTATTCGGAGTGGCAGCTCCGCAGGAAGCAATTGGGGCCTCTATCTGCTGCTCTCTCAAGCATACACAAATCCTCTTTTCCCCAGAGCACGATTATGTTTTGACATCTTTTACAGCCCTATGTCTTGTACTGTGATATTTAAAACACAAACACAGAAGATATACGCAATTACCCCCATTACGTGGGACGCGGTTGTCACGAGCGGGGAGGCCCCGCGCGCGCGTGAAAGGGACCGTGATGATAAACTCTGACCCTGGCGAACGGCTACCGGAGCCGGTGGCAAGCTTCCTGAAGTGGGAAACACACCAGTGAGGCCTCTGGGGCTCGGAGTCCGTGGAACGCTCCGCCTTCGGGACGCTCTGGAAGGAGTGGACGTCACCGCCAACCTTGTGTGTCGCTCAGGGTTGGAAGTGACTGGCCTTCGGGCTCAGTCACGGTCGTGCCGGCTCCGCTCGCAAAGACCCGGCTGGGGAAAGTCATCGCTCTCCCGGGCTGGGGTCCCGGGTGCCGGCGCCTTCGCTCCCTCCCGTCTGACTCAGCCCCCGTCTGTTCCAGTCACCGCGTAGCCACCCCGATTTCCCACCCCTGGGCGCATCGGCCTCCTGGCTGGAACAGTGGAGGCGGCCGCCTCTGTGGCCCACAGAGGGGCACGAGGTGACGGCCTCCGGGTCCCTGTTGAGGCCCCACTGTGCGCGGCCGGCCCTGCCGGACAGAAAGGAACACACAGCCAGCTTCTGGGAACGGCTGGCAGGCCTCGGGCTCTAAGGAAGAGGCCGGTCATGGAGGGAGGGCCCCTCGTCAACCTCAGGGACACGCTGGCTCCTGGTGCCTGCCAGCTTGTCACCCGCACGCCGCGGGCTAGTTGCTCAGCGACCATCTTCACGGAGGCCGTTCGCGCCTCTGAGGCTTGGCCTCGGCACCGGGCAGAGGGGCCCTGTCTCGCCCACCGCCCGCCTGGGTTAAAGACCAACGTCGTCTTCAACGCTGGAGGTGACGAGGCCGGGGGTGGGGGAGGCTTCTGCTCACTGGGCTGCCTTTTAAAGTGTGACATTTATTTACAAATAGCTTACGTCCCTGTCGCCCCACTGAGTCAAAAAGTTGAAAATACTCTTTGATTCTGACCAATGGCAGAGCCTGAAATGACTCGAGAGACAGATGTGACAAGCAGATGTGACTCACAGCCCGTCACCTCGGGTCACAACACCGGAAAGCCCGTCTCCTACGGTTAAAAAATGAGCACCTTCGGAGTTGCACGTGCTCCAGAATGACGTGATCTTACCCCAGACAGAGTTAAAAGCGTTGTAGGTGTCCCGCGACGTCTCGGGGAGCGGGCCTGCTGCTCTGTAATAACACCGAGTTAAACCGTTGTTAAGTTGTGATGAATCTCCTTTTCATGTTGTGTCTGTGTTGCAGCCGGCTCGGCTAACAATGAAAATGATGAAAAATATTTTCAAGGATGAAAAATATTTTCAAGGTTTTAAAGAATCCTAAGTAAGATTTGGTTTAATATTAGGGAGGGGAAGTTGCTTTCATTTTATTTTTCAATATTTGTCTGTTTTCCAAATTCCCCAGTTCCAGAGTGAAAACCAGCTGTAAGAGAGGCAGGTGGTCGGGACCTGCTCCGGTCGGGGAGCCAGACGGCTCATTAGCTCCCGGGCTCCTCGGGCCGCGGGCCGGGTGACGGACGCGACCGCGGGGCAGGTGCCTCGCCTGCCCCTGCCTGGGGTCCTCCTCGGCAGGAGCCTGGGGGCGCCCCCCGTGCCGCTGTGAGGATCGAAGGGGCGCGTGCGGCACAGACTTCGGATCTGCGCCGTGAGCGCTTGCTGCCCATGTCACGGCGACTCCCACAGCGTCGGCGCCACGGGGGTGTCCCGAGCGAGATGACTCCGTGGTATTTTCACACTGTTGCTGAAGAACCTACCAAGTTCATCACGTCTTGTGGAATTTGAGAAAATGCGCCCCCAGCGGGGGC